TATCTGCAGTTCACCATTTTTTGGAATTCCTTTTATCTTCAGGTGGTTTAGAGTTTTCCTAAAAATGTACCGATACCTTACCGTGGCATTTTACTTGTCAGTTGGGTGCAGCTCAAGCGTGGCCGGAAATCATGAAAATTTTCTGGTACAAAAACAGTGAATCCTAAATGAATCTCGCATTTAGCTTCAAAATAAAACTAAGTGTTTCTTGAAAAACGTTGCTTTCTGGTCAAATGCATGATTCGAAACTGTTCTCATCAGATTTTGAAGCAACAAACGAAACTGACCAAAAACTCTTCATCAGTGCCCTCTGGCCTTTCAAAACTGCAAGTTATCAATTACTTCCTCATCGTACTTTCGCCAATTGCTCTCTTTCAATGAGTGAGCGCTGTAAACCCCCGGAACTACTGAGCAACGAAATATTTCATGTACCATTTTTGATAAAAATCTGGCTGTACTAGTGACAAAATTTCCTTTGCTACAATGGCACTTTCCGACTCACGCTCCTTAAACATGAAATTTTAAATTGGAAAAACTATCTAAAAAATTTCATGGTCAAAAGACCGAAACTCAAAATTGAATAAAACCAGTATATTTATTGTTTTAAATAAATCACGAGGTAAAGAGTGCTAGTTGTTGCACCTCAACAGCAATGCGACTCAAACACCAGTCATCGAAATAAAGCGAACTTACTCAAAATCGAGCTAGCTAGTGATTTGAACTCAGCCTAGTGATGGCTCAAGTCGTGATCAGTCATGATTCAGGTCCATGTTTAGAGGTCCTTACAGATTTTCGTGATCCACATCAGTCTATAAAACGGCTCATATTCAAATGCGCATTGGAGACTCATTTGCTGCAAGATGTGAGAATCAACTATTTTTTCCTTTGAGTAATTTTCGATGAGAGAAAAATGAAGCTGTCACAGGCACTCATGACCAGCATGAATCAGATCCAATGCACATGAATCTATGTGTTTCAGGATCAAAAGCGAGCGTGGACAGTGGTCCAGAATGCGCCATTGGCTCGCATTCATATGCTTTACCAGTTTAGCACTAACGCATTTGGCGCTAGCAAAAGCAACCGCTGCTTCTAAGGACGAAGCAGTAGCATCTGCTGGCGACAGTGACTCAGTTCGGGGAGCGGATGAGGCTAACACAGGGGCTGAGGAGCAGGAACGCGAACCTCAGCACGATTCACCGCTTCCGGGCTCAGAAGCGGAATCGAAGCATGCCCTAGAAAGGGATCATAACTCGGATGGTGGTACGCGAACAAAACGTAGCTGCGGAGGTGGCGGTGGAGGATGCGGTGGCGGATGTGGATGTGGTTGCTGCCAGAGCTGCTGCTGCTGTCAGAGGTCATGCTGCACCACGTGCACCACAACCACAACGTCTGTTTTCATTGTCATTTTCATTTGCTAGTTCGAAGGGCAAAATTAGCGCTTCCTTGTAAGCAGCGACTATACGAACTCGAAAATTCAGCAGCGTTGTGCTCAAGATAAGAGGGGGAAAAAGGTGCTAATAAGACCTAAGATATTGCCAAGGACCGCCCAGTAGTGGGAAAAATGTGACTAGTTAGAGACGTAAAAATTAGCCAGACAGATGTAAGATTTAATTAGAAAAAGTGAAATTAAAAAACAGTGAGATTGATAAAAGAATGATAAAAATTTTTGCCGATGGAAATAGACTGATTAAAAATCAGTGAAAAAAAATTACCTAATTAGGCATCTGAAACAAAAAATAGGAAAGGAAGGGGGGAAACAATTTTTGGCAGTGCGGCCTTAAAATGCGGATGCGCTCGAACTTTTCTGGCTCACGCTGGATGTTAGCCTGTCAGGCCAGTGAGTTTCGAAATGGCCTAGGGTCTATCGAAATGGCCTAGGGTCTACGGAATTTTTCAAGCCCTAGCATGAGTACCGTATTTCAGATGCTGTAAGACATCATGCTGCCAGTCGTGCTGCCAGTCTTGCTGCGGATGCGGATGCGGATGTGGAGGTGGCGGTGGCGGTTGCGGAGGTGGTGGAGGTGGTGGAGGTTGTGGTGGTGGTGGTGGAGGATGCGGAGGTGGCGGTGGTGGTGGTGGTGGCGCTGGTGGTGGCGGTGGCGGAATGGGTCGCAAACGACGAGATATCATGGAGCTCCTGGGTGGAAGACTGCTACGTGATAAACGTTCTCCAGTAAGTCGGCATTCCGATAAAATAAAATCCA